AAATCACCAACCCTGAAGCAGGTGGGCTCTTGGCTCCCAAATCATACACCTCCTGAAAGACAATTTGCTCTTGCTAGAGTTCTGAGAACGTCTAGTTCCTGGTGGTGATCTGGCCAGAACCAGAGGCCTGTGCTTTGACAATCTGGCCTTGGACAATTTGGCTAATCTCAGAGTGGGTGGTGCAAAGAGCACTGGGCTGGGACTAGGCCACCAGGATTCAAATTCCACACCTACAATTAACATGCTGTGTCACCCCGGTTGAGTCCCTTCCCCTCTCTGAGCTTGGTTTCCGCAACTCTAAGATGAGGCAGTTGGACTTGCCACCAAAGGGCCTCTCTGCCGGGGATCTCTCAAGACTCTGCACCCAGTACCGATTTCCCCAATGCCAAGGGAGGATGGAGTTCTTATGATCGCTCTGAGTTCTTGGGAGGATTAATGTCATTAAGTGCTTTAAGGCTGACAGCTGGCATTGGGTATGAGCTCCCACTATTCTCCTGGAATCCCTTCTGCTGTCAGGAGGCCGATTTATTCCACAGCCTTGAACCCTAACTTTCCCCTGACTCTTCCCTCTTAAAAATTCCATTGTAAGCTGCTATAAATGAAAGGGTGAGAGGTACACTGACTACCAGTGGGCTGCCCATCCGTGATCTCTGCCACAGGCGCTTGAGGGCTGAGGGGAATAGGGCAGGAGGGATCAGGGCTGGGAAAGCCCTGGAGTCCTCACGTGGGTCCCTGGGTCCAGGAGACTGGGCCATAGCCCAGTCAAAATGGGAGAAGCACACACTGTCCTAAGGGCCTTATGTCATCCTCATAGCAGCTGAACTTGAAGAATGCTTCCTATGTGCCAGGCCTGAATATAAGCACTTCTCACAAATTAACTCATTTGGTTCTTGAAACAATCCTGTGAGTAGGTATTACTGTTGTCCCCAATTTAAGGCTGGAAACTGAGGCCCAGAAAGGTTAAGAAACTTGCCTAAGGTCACACAGATGGGCAGTGGCAGAGCAGCATGCAAATCCAAGCCATCTGGCCTCAGAGTCCATGCTCTTCGGCTGGCTTCGCCCAGGTCCTAGGAGCAGCCCCTTTTACAGGTAAGGAAGCTGGGCCTCTGAGTACTGAGCCACCGTGCTTTACGGCATCACCAGCTGCTGCTTTATGGCTGGCTCCTCTACACTGCCCTCCTCGAATGTGTTCTTCAAGTGGCAGACGCACCCCTGTGACTTCACAGTGAGGAGGGCATCACCATCGAGTGCCGGCCCTGTGCCCGTGAGGAACAGGCCGCGTCCACTTTGCTGGCAGCCGCTAGGGTCTTGGGGGCATTTTCTGGCAGGACCTGCTGAGCCAGATTGCGGTAAATAGGAAGAGACTTTAACACCGAATTGCTCAGGACACAAAAACTGGCTTGAGAGGTGCCTCACCCAGAGGTCTTACTTTCAAAGTGAGAACAGATTTGGGGAGGGGCGCACGGGTGGTGGGGAGGGTAAATTCAATTTGGTGAACTGCCACACGGGGGGAGACCAGGCTCCGCAGCCGATGTCTTCGTTGCATCCCGTGTAAATCCTGCAAAGCCAGGCACCAGTGTGAGCTCGTTACTCTACCCCGTATGCAGCTCTCTTGGCCCCACAGGCCCAGGGAGGAGCCTGCAAGGGCCCGTGGCGGACTGATATACACCAGGATGCAGGAGGCTGCTCAGGGACCCTGAACATCCACTCAGCCAGGCAGGGCAGGGTGGGAACAGCTGCCATCTGACCATGCCCTGCAGGGCCCAGCCTACAGTGAGGTGACCGATGACGGCGGCTGCCACAGCCCAGGAACGAGGCCACCCACAAGCCCGTGTGAGTCCAGCAAAAGAAGCCAGTGGCGTGAGAAGCAGCTTCATTCAGGCCAGTTCAACTCCTATCATCCAGAACAGTCTGGCTTCCAAGCCCCTCATGGGTCCAACCCAAACTAGAACCTCCTCCAGGTTCCTCGAATGCCCCTCAACTCTCCTCCTCTGGGGGTGTTGGCATAAGCATCTGTATCATCTGACCCATTTGTGGCGACAATAAGCGTAACTACCAGCTATTGAGATGGTTCTGTGCGTCAGGCAGGCCTTGGGCTGGGGGTATGATGTTTTCATTAGTTCCACTTTACAGAAAACTCAGGCTCAGAGAACACTCAAGGTCACTCAACCAGGAAGGAGTGAAGTCATTTTGAACTTGTTGGGCTCCAGGGACCTAGAGCCACAAGCCAGTGAAGGACTGGTCACATCATTGATCGTGATCCCTTCTACGCCCCTCATCCCGAGAGCACCTACACAGACCCCAGAGAGGCTCCGAGGAAGGGTTGCCAGTGTACGTCTCTGCGGAGCTGGTGGACTTTTCACTGTGTCATTTATCCCTGCATCCCCAGCAGTCAGCACCGGGCATGGCACTACACGAGCAGCTGCTGGAAGAAAGCGTAAGAAAATCAAGGCTAGCTTCTCCCTGCCCCGTGCCTGGGGCCCTACCCAGGAGCCAGCCTCCCACCGCAGCTCAGTGGCTGGCTGCAGAAGGAAGGCCCTGTCTCACTGCCAGGACTGCTGCAGGCGCAGGATAAGCGGGTTCCCAGGGCCTTAGCCAAGGCCGCTCTTGGGAGACAGGGGACCTCAGAACCCTCCATGGGCTCACCTGGGCAACTGCCGACCACACTTATTACTGTGGAAATCCTATATCACTCATCTATACTTGGCCCTTTGCACGTTCCTGCACGCTCTCATAGCAACCTGAGTGTGCAGGATGAACGAACAGGGGCCCAGAGAGGTCAAGTGACTTGGCCACACAGATAGTTCAGGGCAGAGTGAGGACTCGCTCCCAGGTCTTCTGGTTCAAGGTCCAGGTTTCTTTGCATCATTCCAAGCTGCCCACTCTTCCTGAGGCTCAGTGATGGGAAAGGCGCCAAAGGGTTGAGATTTAAATCACAGGCCCTGAGGAATTTCAGAAAATGGGACTTGGTTTAGCCCAGTTCCTCCCAGCAGTGCTCCCTCTATCCCCGTGGATGGTCGCAGCAATAGCTAAGCCCATGCTCCGCAGTTTCAGAGATCAACAGCCTCCCCCCAACCTCCACCAATTCCCTGAATATTTGCACACTGTGTAGAGAGAGAGGATTATATCCCTCATTTATAGTAGTAGCCAAAGCTCCAACAACTTTGATGAGAGCCACACCAGCCATCTTTCCCCAGGGCTGATGTGGGTGTTGGGGAAGTCTATGATCTGGACAGGTCAGGCAGCAAGCCTCTGAAACTAGAATCCACACATTTCATATTTGAGCTTAAGGAAACACCTGTCTTCCTCCCCACGACTCAGGAGTCCTCTCTCAGAGCCTATCCTAAGACAACGTTTTATGCACAAAGATGATAATTGCCGTGTTTTTTGTTTTTTGTGGTACACGCGGGCCTCTCACTGTTGTGGTCTCTCCCGTTGCGGAGCACAGGCTCCGGACGTGCAGGCTCAGAGGCCATGGCTCACGGGCCTAGTTGCTCCGCAGCATGTGGGATCTTCCCGGACCGGGGCACGAACCCGTGTCCCCTGCATCGGCAGGCGGACTCTCAACCACTGTGCCACCAGGGAAGCCCTGCCGTGTTTTTTTTAATAGTGAAAAATTGGAAAGGACCTTTGTCCAACATTAGTGGGATGGTTAAACGAATTATGGCACATCCATGCAATAACTGCAACCATTAAAAATATTCTTTATGAAAAAATTTACACGAGTTAGGGAAACACATATGATGTAACATTCAGTTAAAAAAAAAAAGAAAAGGAAGAACATAATATTGTATATGGGTGGGGGAAGTGTACTGAAGAAAAGACTGAAAGGAAATAAGACAAGATGTGCACAGAGGCTGCATCTACATGGTAGAACGAGTTATTTTTGGCCTGCTTTACACTTTTTGATACTTTCTCTTTTCCCCTACAAGCCTATGATAATCAGGGGGGGGAAAGCAGCAGCAGCAGCTACCCCAAATCACACCCCCCTACCCAAGGGGAGTGAACTGTCTGAACAGCCAGAAGCGTTGGGATGCTGCCTGGTGACATGGAGGAAGGTAGGTCCTGTGTCCCTTTTCCCGTAACACAAATACTCTGCCATACGCATGGGGGGCCTTGTAAACCTGCTTTTGAAAATTTTCTGGGGATTTTCATCTGACTTAGCTCTTTGGTTCTTGATGTCAGGAGCCTGTGTCTCTAAGGGGTGGGGAATACAGGTGATGAATTTCTGTTTCCAGCTCCCCAGATAGCTCCCGTCTCGCAGGGAAGAAGGAAGCCAGGTGCCTCCAGCATCTTTTCATGTGAAAGGCCTGCAGAGAGGGGCGCTGGTGATTTGTCCGGGAATTACATTTGATATCTAAAGCTGTGCCCACAGTGAGGCACTTTGCAATCTCTCCAGGTGAGAAGGGCTTTCGAGGCTCTGGCTGAGGAGGATCTCACAGCTGCAAAGGACAGAGATGTTGGCAAGTGTGGCTACAGGTCAGACTCAAGCTGCCAACACACAGCAGCACCCATGCTGCTCCCTAACTGTGACTGTTTGTCCACCAAGCCACCCGGCGAGAGACACACACCCAAGACCCTAAAGGCAGCGTGTGTGCCCAGCTTATCAGATACATGTTTGGTTTCTCTAGGAAAACACCCAAGATCATTTTACAGCCACTTGGAGGAGCGGATTTAAACCCAATCCTCTGTGTCCTTCAGATCTGCCCACCTTCTCCATGGCAACTAGTGTCCGTCACTCACTGCCCCCACTCACATTTCCAAGTTTGTCTGCTCTGAAAATTAACAACAGGTGCATATAAAGAAGTGTGTGAGGTGAGGGAGAAGCATGTGGGTTTCCCCCAAACCTAGAAGGCTCACAAGCCTAGACAACCCTGGAGGAAGTCAGACTTGGGAGCCCCCAGCTCTGGAGAAACAGGGACATAGCTCAGGAGAGAAAAAGTCAAAAATGAAATTCTGCTCGGCCCCCAGGGGCAGGGGGTCTTCCGACGTCAGCTCACCGAACATGTTGCCCTCGTAGCCGTCTCTTGTGAGGGGCCGGAGCTCGTTTTTCCCCATCGCATAGCGCTTGTAGCTCTGCCAGGCGAACTGCATCATCTGTAAGAAAGAGCAGAAACAGACCCTGAGCGTGGAGATTCCCAACAGCGCGGGCTGGCCACCTGGCCTTGCCCTTTGCAACAGGGTTTGAAACCACATTATAAAAACAATCTTCCACATTGAGAAAGACGACTTCCTCTTACCATTGTTCTATTCATAGTTATGCCTGGAAGGCTGTCCTCCTCCGACAGCCCCACGCGTCCTGCATCTACCCATAGATTCCTCAGAGAAGGCACAAAGGGCACTAAGTACATTCTAGCCATCCATCAGTGCCAAAGTGAAAAGCCACCTCTTCCATGAAGCCTTCCCGGACCTAAAGTGACCCTCTGAATGGAAGGAAACAAAACTCAACGAGGGATGCCTGTTAGAATCTAACAGAACCGTCCCTTGAGCTAGGGGTTGCTAACTCCATTTTGTAGATAAGGAGACAGGTCGAGACATGAGGTAACTCGCCCAGGATTACCCAGGGAGTGAGTGAGCATGCTGGGAATTGAACCCATGCCCTCTGGCTCCGAAGCCTTAGGTCTGTCCCCTAAAGTCACTGCTTGACTCTCTTTGAACTCCTCCTGCACTTGGCTTGACCCAGGCTGGCTCTCCCAGGCCTCCTAGCACCCCAGCTGGTCACTGTTAGTTTTTGTTTTACTGGTTCTGGACCACAAACTCTTTGAAGCCAGAAACTACATTTTCTTTGCCTCAGTTCCCCCAAAGCACCCTGCACAGGGCTTGGCAATGAGTATCTGTCAGCTTTGTCACCCAGTGCATGCATGAGTTCTTACTACATTAAGGCAACTATGTTAGCCCCTTGGCAGCATCGCAAGCACACAAGCACCTTTGTCTCCTAACTGCACTTAGCACTGGAGGCTGGAGGAACGCAAGGCAACAATCTGTCCCCAGCCCTGCTCTCCCGCCCCTCCCCAGGGTCTCCCTTTTGCCTCTGATGGCAGGCTGCAGAAGAAGGACAGCAGAGCAGGCCTCTGCGGTGACCATGGGGCTGAGAAGGGAGCCAGCCCAGGCAGCGGAGGCACAGCTGAAGGACAGGCAGGTGGGGGGCAGCCTGGTGTCGTGGAGAGAACTCAGGCTTCGGGGCCGGGAGGCCCGGGTTCTAATCCTACCCCTGCCACTAGCTCTTTGACTTTGGCAAGCAACTGAATGTCTCCAAGCCTCAGCTGCCTCATCTTTGAGATGGGAATAACAAGGGCTGCTTTGCCACAATCCTGAAAGGTTTAAATGAAAGCAAGTAGCTGGAAATGCCCAGTTTTTGACTTCACGCAGCAAGTGATCAACAAACACGAGTCCTCTTTCCTGCTCAGCCTTTAAAATACCCATCTGGTTCTCCAAGCCTCATCCACCCACCCCTCTTTCATCCACCTTATTAGTTCTCAGACTTTGGCGTGCATCAGAATCACCTGGAGAGCTTGTTAAAACAGGCTGTTGGGCCCCATCCTTGAGTTTCTGATCCAGCAGGTCTGGGGTGGGGACTGAGATTCTGTCTTTCTAACACATCCCCACGTGGTCCATGGGCCACATCTGAGAACCAGCAGTCTACTATATGTGTTTATTTCTATTTCCCAGCTCACTTCCAGACACTGTCTGGCACCCTTCTGCTTTTCTCCTTCCATCTCCCAGCCCACCTTCCTGCCTCAGCACTGTCTTTCTGGACATCGCCACCTGCGTTCTCCATGCTCTGCCACTCCTAGTGCCAAGGTCTAGCAGCCATCTCTTCCAGGCACACCTGGACAGTAACCATTGCCATGCTCACCCCTGGGGCCAAAACACACAGACCAGGAGGGCAGACCTGACAGGTCTGTGGCCTGGGCTCTCCGTGAAATGGCAGAATAATCTAGTACCATCTCTCCACTTCATAGATGATGAAACTGAGGCTCAGAGATGGAAGGTGGTCAGGGTGGCACGGCCAGCAGGGCTGGAATACAGCTCTTTCAACTCCCAGGCCAGCAGACCCCACCCCCATGCTTGGCCTGATGTGTGGCTTCCCAGGAGACACACATGCAAATGTCACGGTACTGCGTGCCAAGCACCTGACACAGGTTTTGAGCCCTGGTTCCATTCCTTGGTTATTTTCTACTTATCTTGAATTGGCAATAAGGGAAACTAATTGCTGGGTATGAGCGCTTAAGGGAGACTGGCCTCCTCCCTCAGTCTCTCTTATTCTGGGGGGGGGGGGCCTTGATTAAGGGAGGTGGGAGGGGGGGGGGGGGGGGGGGATGGGTAGGGGAGCAGCAGGAGGCTGTTAACACAGAAATGGCAGCAGGAAAGCAGGAGCAGAGGTCTGGAGGGGGAGGACTGCACCCTACCCCCAAACCCCACCTGCTTGAGAGAGAGAGAGAAGTGGGTGTGCAGGAGTAATTAAGAGAATCATGGGTATCTACATGTTCTCAAAGGAGCTGTCACTGCAGGGACGTGGGGATGTTGGAACGTGGCCCGTTCTCACAGTCATCCACATCAACGGAGAGGAAGGAAGGCACAAATAATCCCTGTGTCGCTTGGGACAGGATTCAGAAGGCAATTAGAGCTGCTCTCACACACACACACGTGCACAAGGACACACAGACCCTCGAACGCTAATCCTTGTGTCTCCCACCTCGGGTCGCAAGCCCAGGCGCTGGATAAGCGGGGATGACGGGGAAAGTCCCCAGCCAGGTGGTCCTTACTTCTCTTCCTAATGCGCCCCAACCTACCAGGTGTCCTAGCCTGTGCTCGGCCGCAGTTTGGGCTGCAGCCATGGTGGGATTGCTCCCCCGGACCCCCCCCTCCACTTTCCTGCCAACTGCTTATCTTCCTTCAACTCTCAGCTGAAAGGGTACTTTTGCAGGGAGTCCTCCTCCCCAGCCAGGCCCCCACGACCTCCCCACATTCCTGATGTCAGGTCCCACAGCAGCCTGCAGTTAAACTCTTATACTCGCAACTATTTGGTCAGTGCCCCCATCCCCTAGTCACTGCTGCGTGCCTGGCAACTCACCAGGGGACTGACACATAATAGGTGCTCATTAAGTATTTGCTCAATGAAAGTAAGAACAAACAAGAAAATTGGCTCTGGAGCTTAACACATGGTTGGGAGACTTGACGTGTGGACCACACACATCACAGGTAAAATAGGTAATGGGTCGGGGGGATGGGGTGGGGGGGCTTCTGAGTAACAGAGGTGCTCAGAAGAAGGCAAGCGTGTGTCTCAAGGGGAGCTTCACGGGCACCCAAGTGTCCTGATGGGCAAAAGGATTGTGAGGGGCACAAGAAGAGGATGACCTACAGAAAGGCTAATCTCACTCTGGAACTGGTGATATGTGCCTTGGGCAGCCCCTGGACTTGCCTTTAGAGATGGACGGTCCCTGGCTTCATGTTTAGGCAGTTCTAAGGCTTCAAAGAACTCAGGCCACCTCCTGCCCCATGCAAGTTCCTTAAAAAGACTAAGTAACCTCTCTTTGAACACCCCCAGTGAAAGGGTGCTTACCTCTTTAGCAGGCAGCTCATTCAACTGCAGAGTTTCACAACGTTCTTTCTTAATCAATCTAAATCTGCTTTCCCTACGGGCCAGGAGGAAGACAGCTCATATGCTCCCACCACGGATCTTCATCCAAGGGCAGCCAACTCTCAAGTCACCTTAGGCTGCCTGTTGGCCGGCTGAACAGCCCGGCTCCTTCAACAGATCGCCTGATGGCAGAGCTCTAAATCCCCTGAAACTGCAGATATACATCACAACGTTTTTCCAGGGTGCCCAGACTTTGTCACCCATTTGTTATGGTTGGCTTTTGGTAACAAGCAGAAACCGAAGTGCAAACTCTCCCTGGTTACATCTGGACCAGACCCTGTGGGTGTGGACTTGCCATTTGTCCCTAACAACTGCATCTCACTGGACTCTCCATACTCGTTCCGTGCTGTCAGGATCTTTCTGGAACCAGATCTTATCATTCATTGTGTGTGTGTCTGTGTGTTTTGGGTATTCTGCCTGCTTTCATGGGACCGCCATCTGTGTCTCCCCCAAGTTTTAGAGAGAAACATTAAGTGGCTGGGCTGAGGACAGAGTTGGGGAAACAGCAGCAGGGGCCCCTCACCTGGCTCCAGCGCTGCTCTTTGAGTGTCATCTGTCAACAAGTGAGGAATCTTCCAGATAATCAGTCCAAGCCCTGTGTCTCCATTTTTGTATACGAAGATACTATGAAGGACAGGACTGAAATACAAAAGCACTCTGCTCCCAGTACAGCTAGTACAGAGAAAATAGATGGCTTTTTTTTCTTTTAAGAAAAATCAGGGGTTAGACTGGTATGATTTGTTCTTAAGAGAACGCATTTTGGCTCCTATGGATCCTCATTTTTGGTTCTAAATGCCTGCAAATCACTAACTTAAAAACCTATCAGTCACACCAGGATGGCTATAATCAACAAGATGGACAATAACAAGCGTGGGCCAGGCTGTGGAGAAGTGGAAACCCTCCTCAATGGCCGGTGGAAATGAAAATGGGGCAGTTGCTTTGGAAAACACTTTGGCATAAAAAGTTAAATATGGAGTTACGACGTGACCCAGCAATTCCACTCCTGGGTGTAGACTCGTGCAGAACAGAGTTAACACAGTAGGCCTGAGACTTCTATCCCTAGAAGGGCTCTGCTTGCAAATTTGGCCCTTGGCCGGTGCCTGGGAACTTGGATTTAGTGAGTGCTCACCATTCTCGGATGGGTAAGGGTGGTGTACTGCACCGAGACTGTACAAACAATGTGATGTATGCTGAACACCTGCCTTCCTCCCGGGAGTCTGGAATTCTGGTACATGTTAGGCCGAGGGTGCTTACATGACCAGCCCCCAGTAAAAACCTTGGGCACTGAGTCTCTAATGAACTTCCTGGTGGATGGCGTCTCACACGTGTCATCACAACTCAGTGCTGACGGAATGAAGTGTGTCCTGGGTGACTCCACCCAGAGCGGACTCTTGCGTGCTGGGTCCGGTTTCCCCAGGGCTTCTCTGTATGCACATTTCCCCTTTGATGATTTTGC